CAGGCTGTCACATCCCTGAGCACAGAGCCCAACATCACCGTGTTACTACACTCCTCTCGACAACCCCACAGACAACTACACAACAACAAAGTCATCAGTTACCGCCCTACGTGCCCCCGTCTGTACCCAGGGGGCGCTGCTTCCACAAAGAAGCAGCCCCACTCAGCCCCAGAGCAGATCTGGAGGACGCCAGCGTTTGAAAGAGGACTGAAAGTATCCGAATACTTTAATAATCCCTGAGGAAATGATCTACAGCTGCTCCTTCCAAGCTTCTTGGATATGGCTCAGCAAGCTGCATATAAAACATGCAGCCCAGCAGAGACTCTATGCTACACTTCAGACATGTTTTACTTTAATTCCTCATCTGCAGACGGTTTGAGGGTTCTGGTTAAGAAGGGAACCAGCTTTGTAGTACAGAGAGCTCGGGGTTAACCTCAGAGTTACCTGGACAGGACGAACTGCACAGGCAGGCCTCTGTTACCTGTTATCATGCTTGAAATGATCAGAGGAAGAATGACCAGCTTCAGCATTCGCATCAGGATCTCTCCGGGGAAGCCAAAGTACTGCTTGTAGAGATGCGACAGGGACGCGTACTCTCTGACCACAACACCCAGACTGATCCCTGCAAGAGCAAAGACAGTAAAATCACCTGAAAGAAAACTTTCCAAAGAGCACAAATCACTGAACAAACACTTGTGCTGGTTCACATGTGTGATATGAAACAAGCACATCCAATCAGGACATTTCAGTTGATACTTTGTCATCTAAACGGATACAGAATTGCAACAACTTTCATCATCATAACGTTTAATTTTTCGTCCTCTTTCAGGTCTTGGTCAAAGATGTGTGTGAATACGTGCCAGCTCTGTCTGCGCCCCAGATGCTCCACCTGTGGCTTTACAAAGACCTCTGCCTTCTTCCAGACGGCCTTAGTCAAAAGTATCGCCCTTGACTTTGTCATTTTGCCTAAACTTCCTATTCTGGTGTTGTGCCTAAAAGTGATTTCTGGCATTTAAACTGTTGTAAAAATCTGTCAAACATATTTCTCATGAACATTTCTATCACAGGCTGCAGCTGCAAACCTGTCCAGTCCTTCTGGACTTACCTGGTCTCACCTCACGTATTCCTAAACTGCACAACCTGTGATCAAACCTCTCTGTAACACATCTGCCTTTAAGTCCAGTCCTGTGTTCGAGTCCATCTTGAGATAAGCCTTGAAGCACAGTGACATCTTAGCTCCCATACAGGAGCTGTTGAGTCCAAAAGGAGACCTAATAACATCTTAGTATCTGTGTTTCCTGGTTGGGAATCCAGCTGCTGCAGACGGATGATTATACTGTTTATTTTATCTGGATGTTCATGTTGCCTCATATATGTGATAGTTGCTGTCAGGCTGATAACAAAGGCTCAGCTGTCCGTCTCCTAAATCTGCACTGAGCACAACCCTGAGACTGCACAGTGTGTAATTAATGACACAGGAAATGTGTTTAATATTAGCTAACACATGCACATTTAATTGGGTCAGCAGGCTAATATGAAGCAAAGCGCTCAGGATGAAAAGAAGTCTTTTCACGGTGCTGTGCTGCCTCAGCGTGGACAGCCTCAC